GTGGTAAGTGGAATCTTTCCAATTACCAATATAGCATTATTATTGTTTTTTGACACTATGGATTAAAATACTAAAAATACACACATTCAAAATGATTCAATTGAAACCTAGCCAGTTTGTTCAATGAATCCAATCAGAACGTCTACTAATCCACATGATACATCATAATTAAATTGCTTTTTTAAAGCGGATATTTCAAACCATAACCACAAAAATATTATAGAACGCATTGTATTTGTATTTTACTTCACACAGACATATTTGTGTATATGTGAAATAATTATATTACTTGAGTTTTTTATTCCCCATTGCAAGGTAAACCTATAGCAAATTATACAGCCTTCTCACAGCTGTGAGCGAGATGATAAAACTGGTCGAGTGAACTCGTTTGAGTTATCTTTTCTCCGTAAAAATATCAGAGAATGTGTGTTTATAGCGTAGCTTTGGTTTTGTAAATCAATGAAGTATGATATACACGGATGAGTAAATATAGATTATTTAAACAGAAGAGCAAAATTCTTCGATTGAAAAGTACAGAGGCGGGTACTCACGAAACATTACATGTGCCTGACTGCATCCACATAGATCGACTAGCCACAGTGTATCAACACGAGTGAGCGAAGTACTTGTACATGTAACAGGTACATAAACCTTCATCAGCGGGCAGATGTTATAGGAATATCCTATGGTTTTGAAAAAATATTATTTATATCCATGAGTGGATATTGATATCTTCATGAGTGAGCGCAGCGAATGAGTATCGAAGATATTTGTATCCATGAGTGGATATAATTGATATTTTTGAAAAACCATAGGATTGTCCGTTTATCCCATGGGAAATCATCATCAGCGAAAAATGTTGATTTTTTTTAAAATATTTTTGAAATAATTTTTTTAAAAATGTAAAAAGAATTTTTTTGAAAAAATTCGAAACCATCGAATATCACTTTTCAAACCATCGAATATCGATAGTTTAAAAGTGATATTCGATGGTTTGTAAATTGTTTGCTAAACTATGATATCTTGATCCACATATAAAATATATCTTCATGTGATATTCGATCTATATCCTTGCAACCATGGGATAAAGCTTTACGTCCCGCTCCGAGCGGGCAGATATAGTATATCTGCCCGCTACGTCATAATCGCCGCTCGCAAAGGACCTTATACACCCTCCATTGGGATCTCCCCATGGGAAAAAAATAATTCATCTGATTTTTCAAAATGAGTATTCTGCTTCAATTATTACATTTATATGCACACTAGTATATTGTTGACCTATATTCAGCACTGCATTGATGTATAGGCCACTTATTAGGGTCATAATTCAATCATGAAGTGTAGAGGCATAGATTCCAAACCAGGAAGTATTTTTGTGTCTGTCAAAATCCATTTGCATCCTACGCATCCCTGCATCTTATCCAAAAAATGTTACTACATAATGAAATATAATAGTATAATCTTTGGTTTTACAAACTTGTATGATATTTGATAAGTAGTCTAGGCTCTTCGTTATTTTTTGTTCGAATCTCTGCAGAAATGAAACCATTTTGATTTTATGAATATATTGGTTGTTTCAAATGACAAAATGCACCCAAGCAAGTTCATGGGTCACTTTTCGTCCCATAAAATTATGTTTTACCCCCACCCCCAGGGGGAGCAGGGGGGCAAAGCAAAAAAATATTTTGAGGACAGTTCAGCATATGCCACCATTAAATAAGTTATACAATCAGCGGTTTCTAGACAACTCATCCCAAGACAACTCATCCCAAGACAAGTCATCCCTAAGACAACTCATCCCAAGACAAGTCATCCCTAAGACAACTCATCCCAAGACATCTCATCCCAAGACATCTCATCCCAAGGCAACTCATCCCAAGACATCTCATCCCAAGACAACTCATCCCACTAGTATAATTGATAAATTATTTAATTTGTCCTCTATATTATATATATCCCTTTTCATTTTTACAATTACAAAGTGATATTTGATTACACACTCAATCTTAATATTGATAATTTTTAGCATTTTGAAAAGGCACTTGAAAGTTTTCTACTTTTACGTATCGGTATTTTTATAAATTCTGGGTTATTCTCAAATTCTCAATATATTTGAGAATATAGAATTGAAGACATAATTTCCAAATTCAATCATCATGATTCTGAAAGTTTAAAATTATTTAAGAATAAGCCAAATATGACATATTGAAATTAAACAAAATATTTTAAAACAAAGACTGAATTAATCTGGGAGAATTATACTGATAATACCCCGGATAATACATTCTTATTGAATTAATCCTAATCTGACACCCTTGATGATCTTTGATTTAATAATCAACGTATAAATTAATTTGAACATGTTTATCTTTATCCCAATCAATTAACAAAAATTAACTAAAACTAGGCTATACTAACTACAAAATACAAAACATATTTTATGGCCAAACACAGTGTGCTAACTGCTAAAATCTCTAAATATGTTTCAAATATTCTTTCAAAAGTTGAAATTAATTGTATAAATTATGTTATATTTCAAGTCGGGGAGAGTTGTCTTTGGGATGAGTTGTCTTGGGATGAGATGTCTTGGGATGAGATGTCTTGGGATGAGTTGTCTTGGGATGAGATGTCTTGGGATGAGATGTCTTGGGATGAGTTGTCTTGGGATGAGATGTCTTGGGGATGAGTTGTCTTGGGATGAGTTGTCTTAGGGATGAGTTGTCCTGTTACCCAATCAGCAAATATAATGAAAAATTGTTTTCAATGTTTTTTATTAATATTTCCTTGCAAATTCAATATTTTAATCACTTAATGTCCAGTGATGCTTAATGTTGGTAAATTGGATTTTGAAGATATTTTGTCATAATTCTAAAATCAATAAGAGAGCTCTTATATCACTCTATAAGTGCAAATTATTTTCACACTCAGCTAAGAAGCAAGATGGGGGGGGGGTAGTCCAGGATCTTCATCTTTTTTTGTTAAAATCACTGCAGAAATTAAGCCATTAATATTTCATGTATGTCTTGATTTCAAATGAAAAATTCACCTGAGCAAGTTTCTCAGTCACTTTTTGTCTCAGAATTTTATCGTTTCGAGTTAGCGAGTTTATCAATTCTAGCAAATTTGAAAGAACTAATATCTATTAATATGAAAAATAAACAGCACACTGCATGTTGGTACCCTGGAAATTTGCAATTTGCCATAAATGTACCTTAAATTATGCATGTACAGTTCCTCTCGTGGCCTTAAATAGTAAAACAGTGTGCTTGTGGCTTTATCTTAATATGTAGCATTACATGGCCTTTTGAGGTTGTTGTTTTTACCATAATTACCATAAAAATACTATTACCATATTATTTAATTGCCAAAAGGATGAATCAATTGTTTAAATCCACCATAAGATAGACTGATATCATGATTGGCCATCGTGTAGGATAACATATCAATGAGTATAAAATACCTTGGAAGATCATGGTCTATAAATGGTAAATAGTCGAATCCCATATGCTCACTGTGTGAGCCAAAAATCATGTTTTTGTACATTTCTCCTTCCCCTTACAAGGATCAGTTTTTATATGAACAAAATGTTAATAGACATACTTAATGATAGTAAATCTTATACTTAATAATAGAATCTTATACTTAATAATAGTAAATCTTATGGTTGATGCAATAATAAGGATAATATATTTATTGTATGAATCAATATTAAATCCCCTCCAAAAGAGGTTGAAGGGGATGGAGTGATCTTTATCCAATTTATTTAGTTACATTACTGCCATAATTTTGGGATCTAGTAAATGATATTCCAGTAGTTTAATTTGAGAACTTTTTCATTGGCTTCCCTGAACTACAGGAAAAGTGATGAGAGAATTACACTTGAAAATCAGATAAACTCAACATTGAATTTGGAGGGGGGCAAAAGGATTAATATCATAAATAAATTCTAAATATCCTGCAAAATGCCTTATAATCAATGAGCTTCATATAAATTGACCATCTTAGGCTTGATAAAGAAGAATTTACACAAATAATTTACCCGCTGAATATATTTTTCACATTGACCCCCACCCTCATTGGGTTTGATGCACTACAATAAAAACTAATGAGAGAAAACTCCTGAAACTAAATATATTCAACATTGAATTGGAGTGGGGGGCAGTAAAAGGCTTAAAATCACATATTAATATCTTGAAAATACCTAATAAATAGCAAATGTCAATATCACTGGACCATCTAAGGCATGGTAAAAGAGAGTTTGCACAAATATTGTATTTACTAAATATATTTTTCATATTGACCCCCTACCCCATGTTGGAGAAGTGGTGGGGTTCTTGTTTTTTTTCTGGACAAATTGGACACATCAATGCCATACTTTCTTAATCTATCAAATGCTACTTTAGCAATGTTGTGGAATTCTTTCATTTATATCAATACAATACAAAAACGATGAGGGAATTTCTTGGAATAAGATTGTACTAAAGATGGGATGGGAGATTAGAAAAAAGCTTAAAATCACAAATAGATTCCAAATAACCTGCAAAATGTCTAATAAATAGTCAATTGTATGTTAATCAACCATTTTAGTCATGTTAAAAAAGAGTGAGCACAAATTATAATCTCACAAAATATTTTTTCATATTTTCCCCCTTCCCCTATGTTGAAGAAGTGGTGGGGTTGTTATAATTTTCTTCTTATTGATTAGACACATCTCTGTCATACTTTCAGGATTTCTCCAATGATTTTTGAGCAATATTGTGGAATTTATTCACAGACGTCCATGCACTCGAAAAAAAGTTATGAGAAAATACTTTTGAAATTAGGTGAACTCAACATTGAATTGGGGGATAGTAAAAGGCTTAAAATCACAAATTAATTCAAAATATCATGCAAAATGCTAATAAATAGCGAATTTTAGATCAATTTACCATACTAGGCATGATGAAAAGGAGAAGGAGACAATTCAACCGAATAAGAAACCTTTTTTAAACCAACTCAGCCAAGAAGATACAGGGTGTCCGGAAACTGACGGGTCAGTGAGCATATCAAAATCTCCTAGACCTAAACCACAACCTAGACGACCACTTCCTCGTATCGCATTAGAAATGGAAAACAGTAAACTCGAAGAACAGATTTTGAAGATTTTCGTCAGTCCTGAAATGGCAAAGATATTTCAAGGCATCATGAAGCCCCTCTTCGATGAACAGGCAAAGTTGCACAGCATGGAAATATCTTCTCTCCAAAAAACAGTCTCTGAACAAAAAAGTACAATAAGGGACCTAGACGAAAGAATCGATCAGTTAGAACAAAACGTCAAGCTGAACACGTTTACCGTTAGGGGACTAAAACCTACGAAATCAGAGGAAGAAAATAAGCAAATTCTACTCAAACTCCTAAACAAGATTGACGTCGAAATGCATTCGTCCGAAATTACAAATGCCTACCCAATCGGAAATGACCTGCTTCTGGTGAAAACATCGAGTAGAGCTGCGAAACAAAAAGTATTCTGTAATAAATCGAAACTGAAAGGCCTCAAAAGAGATCCAAACGACCCTATTGTTTACTTCAACGAAGACCTGACCAAAAGAAGAGCCTTGTTATTCAAACGCATGCGGGATTTGAAAAAAGCCGGGAAAATCAAGGGAACATTCACACGTAATGGAGAAATCGTAGTCATTACAAATACAAAAGACGCAAAACCCAAAGAAATAAAAAATCTTGAAGACCTCGCCCGACTGGGAGTAACAACTAATTCCGATCAACAAGACAATAAATAGTTTAATCTAGTTTTGCTTTTAAATTTGAATGATAAGACATGGACAACTGGCTATTCTCATAATTCTAACCAATTACACTTTCGTACTCATCCGATCCGTATTTACGATTAGCGTGTAAATGAAAGGTAAGTTGTTTTTGCTGATTATATGGAAAACGCACACGTATTCATACAAATTCCCGTATCGGGGACATATTCCCCATATATTGGTTTTTTTTTCTAAAATGTCAACGCCCAACGTTATCAAACTGTGCCATATCAATATTCAAAGTATAAAAACAGGAGGCCCTAACACATTTGAACCTGCAAACTTCAAAATCGACGAAATCGAAACAAGGTTATGTCTTAGTAAAGGGTTTGACTTTATCTGCATCACGGAAACCTGGCTCAAGCAAGGTTACGACGTAAATTCAATTGAAATCAATGGCTACGATTTCAGTAGCAAAGAAAGAGAAACTATCGGCGGGGGAGTAGGAGTCTATTATAAGCACGGCCTCCCTGTCAAAAGACGTTTTGAATTGGAAAACAACCACATTGAATTAATGTGGCTCGAACTTCAGCACAACATGCACGCATCGTCGTTCATAGGGGTGTGCTACCGCCCTCCAAACCAGACAAGAGTGACACGTGAAAACTTCATAGAATCTTTCCAAGAATCAATCCTGCGCATTAAAGACCAAAATCCAATATCCATATTCATACTTGGAGACTTAAACGATAGATGCAAAAACTGGTCTGATCCTCACGAAAATAGTGAACTAAAACATACCCTGGTTGACTTGCTAAATGCGATGGGTATTGACCAAATAATAGACGAACCGACCTAAATACTTCCTAATTCCCAGAACCAACTAGATGTTATAATCACCGATTCGCCCGAAAATGTTATTGATCAAGGAACCGAAGATCCAATAGGGACATCTCACCACTCCCTTGTCTACTGTCACGTGCTCTCAACAATGAAAAAGCAAGCGTCTTTTAAAAGGGACATATGGTTATACAACAAAGGAAACTACGATTTGTTAAATGAGGCGATAAGTTCTGCAAATCTAGAAGAACTAGTTGAAAACACCCCAGACATAGAAGATTGTTGCAAAGCCTGGTCTGGAAAATTCTTAGAACTAGCCAAGAAATACATACCCTTCAAAACGATCACAGTAAATAACAAGGATAAACCATGGATAACTAGTAAAGTGAAGAAAAACATACGAAATAAAAAACGGCTCTATAACAAATTCAAAAGAACCAAGATCACAGGAGACTACACGGCCTACTCAAAAGCAAAGAATGATACGATTATCAGTATCAAGCAAGCAAAACTGGACTTCCAAGATAAAACTAACCAGCAGATCGAAAATATGTCAAAATCGGACAAATCACGCTGGCGTATTACGAGATCTCTGTACAATGGTGATAAAAAGAAACCCTCCATCCCACCGCTCAGACTTGGCAACAGACTGATTTCAGAACCTAGAAATAAAGCAGAACTCCTGTGTTCCTACTTTGCTGAACAATCAAGAATGGAAGAATACAACCCAGATTGGATAGAAAATCCCCCCGATCCCATACACGTCATGGGAGACATTGAATTCAACGTCGAAGAAGTTAGAGACACATTACTTATTTTAGACACCACAAAAGCAAATGGAAAAGACGGAATTAGTAATACACTCCTGAGGAAAACCGCACACTCAATTTCCCCAAGCATAGCCAAACTCCTAAATAAATCTCTCACCACGGAGACGTTCCCTAAAATGTGGAAGGAAGCTTATGTCACACCAGTGTATAAGAAAAAGGACAAACACGAAAGAGAAAATTATCGTCCAATATCCCTGCTATCAAACGTCGCGAAAATAATGGAAAGGTTAATACACAAACGAGTCTACAACTTCTGCATGGAAAACAACCTGCTGACTTGGAAAAACTCTGGTTTCAAAGAAGAAGACTCGACGGTAAATCAACTAACTTATATCTTGCATAAAATTTATCAAGGATTCGAAGAAAGGACTGCAGCTTGTATTGTGTTCCTAGATGCAAGCAAAGCCTTCGACAGAATTTGGCACAGAGGCCTGCTCTACAAACTCAGCTCACTTGGCATTCAAGGAAAATTGCTTAAATGGTTCCAAAGTTACCTAGAAAAAAGAGAGATACAAGTTGTCATTGAAGGAACAAAATCAACCTCACAACGCACAAACTGTGGAGTACCACAGGGCTCTATCTTAGGCCCTCTCCTCTTTCTGATATACACAAACGACATCATCGAAGGAATACAGTGTGACCCCCACTTGTTTGCGGATGACACCAGTATAATGACATTCATAAATCGAGCAAATGTGCATGAGAAAACAACAAAATCAACGCAGACCTAGACATGCTAAACGAATGGGCACAAAAGTGGAAAATGCATTACAACCCCACTAAAACAGAATACATGGTGATAACGTCATTACCTGTGACAACAAACGATCTGAATTTAACCTTATCCATAGGTGACAAAAGAATAAAAAAGGTAACATCACACACTCACCTTGGCTTGACCATTCAAGAAAACCTAAATTGGGAAAACCACATAAACAATCTGAGTGAGAAAACAAGAAGACAAATAGGAAACCTATGGAGACTCAGCGGACGCGTCCCTAGGCAACTTCAAGAAACATACTATAAAACCTACATCAGACCGATCATTGAGTACGCCTGCATCCTCTACGATAACTGTACTAACCAGCAAAGTCTTCGCATCGAGGGTATACAACGGCAAGCAGCACTAGCATGCACCAGGGCCTACGTGAGAACCGACACGGGTGAAATTCTTAAAGAGCTTGGATGGGACAAACTTGCTGAGCGACGAAAATATTACAAAATGATACTCGGATATAAAATAATGAATGAAAATCTACCCAAATATCTACTCGAAGTTAGCCCAAAAAGACCAAGTCGTCTGAACACTCGCCATTTTAACATGCAAACAATGTTAAGTAGAAGTGAAAAAGTGAAAAGGTCTACCCTATACAGTGTCACTACCACGTGGAACTCTCTCGGAGAAGAGCTGAAAACAAGAGACTCTGTTGGTCGTTTCAAAATTGACTACAAAAAAGCCTCTCTAAGCAAACCAAACAAGCTATTCTCACAAGGAAAAGGAAAACATCACATAAACCTCTCAAGAATAAGAATGGGACTCAGTGCCCTGAACAATCAGCGCATGATGTACCAGCTCATACCCGATGGTAGTTGTGACAATTGTCCCTCAAACAGGGAAGACGTAACACACTACTTCCTAAAATGTCCCCTATACGAACACCAACGGGTCATCCTACTCGAAGGAATCGATAGAATAATTGAACAATACCCTCCTAAAACCAGACATAACCTCAAATCTATTGCATCTAAGGTTCAATTGCTCATTCATGGTAGCCCCTTGTTAACCCCAACATCAAACCAAAATATCCTAATGCTTTGTCAAAACTACATAAAAAACACTGGACGTTTTCCATGATAATCGTCAAACACACTTACTAATTTAAACTTCAATTATTATAGTATATTCCAACATCTCTAATTATAATGTAAATATTAAAGAGAGGAGAGCCCCTCGATAAGCGAAATGCTTCTGGGCAATCCTCTTAAAATAAATACATTTTAAACAAAAAATAAAATAAAAAGGAGTTTGCACAAATTATGTACTTCAAAAATATTTTTTTAAAATGACCCCCTACCCTCAGTTGAAGAAGGGGTGAGGTTCTTGTGATTATTTTTCTTCACAATTATTTGACAAATCACTGCCATACTTTCTGGATTTATAAAATGATACATGAGCAATGTTGTTGAATTTTTCCATTGGTATCAATGTCATACAAAATAAGCTATGAGTAAATATTCTTGTTAATAGGTAAACACGACATTGAATTGGGGGTTAGTAAAATGCTTAAAATCACAAATAAATTAAAAATATCCTGCAAAATGTCTGATATAGAGTGAACTTCATACTAATTGACCATCTTAACCAGGATAAAAAAATAATTTTCATAAATAATGAACTCACAAAATATTTTTTCATATAGACCACCCACCCCACTGTTGAGGAAGGGGTGGGGCTGTTGGGATTTTTTCTCTCCATATTAATTCAACACATCGCTGTCATACTTTCTGGCTCTACCTAGTGATACTTGAGCAAGGTCGTGGAATTTTTTCAGAGGCATTTATTCACTACAACAAAAGTTATGAGGGAATGTTCTTCAAATTAGATATACTCAAAATTGAATTGGGGGTAGTAAAATGCTTAAAATCACAAATTAATTCCAAACATCCTGCAAAATGTCTAATAAATAGTGAATTTCATACTAATTGACCATCTTAGGTAGGATAATAATGTACTCACAAAATATTTTTTTCATATTGACCCCTACCCCACTGTTGAAGAAAGGGTAGGGTGGTTGGGATTTTTCCTCTCCATATTACTTAAACACATCACTGTCATACTTTCAGACTCTCTCAAATGATACTTGAGCAAGGTTGACATTTTTTTTCATGGCCATTAATGCGCTTCAACAAAAGTTATGAGGGAATATTCTTGAAATTAGATATACTCAAAATTGAATTGGGGGTAGTAAAATGCTTAAAATCACAAATTATTTCAAAATATCCTGCAAAATGCCTAATGAATGGTGTTTTCATATTAATTGACCATCTTGGGCATAGTTGTGAGTAATTTGGACATAAAGAGTGCCCACAAAAAATTTCTTTTGCCCCCCCCCCCCCCCAAATGACTTGGGGGAGGGGGTCAACCCTCATTTTCTCTTGTAATACCCACCCTTCAACTTGCTCGAGCAGTTAAAATTTATTGCAATATAATGTTGTTTCATCATACAAAGATTCACGATTTCTGCAGAACAACGAACAAAAAGATACTTTTGGACGACGAAGATCTTGTACTAAAGTGTAAAAGTTGTTTTTGGAGCATTTTTCTATAGCCATTTTGTAGGGAAAAAAATGGTGAAAAAATGTATAATCTTTTAATTTTAAGTATGACCTGATTCGATTGCAAACTTCATATTTGCACATTTGATGAGATAAACCATTTGTGTCATATTGTGAAATTATTAAGTTTGCAATCGATTCAGGTCATAGTGTATTTTTGGTATTGCTGTGATAATCAATGGAAACCAATGGCCTCTATTGGGATCTGCTGATATCCTCATGTTAAGTCAATGGTGCACAGGCCCATGTAAGTCAATACAACCTTACTGAACGAAATAATCCCTATCTCAGCTTATGTGTGCCCGAACACTTTATATTTTCCAAAGTATTATATGACATTTTATTCTTCATGTTACACCTAAGAATGATTCATTTTGACCATAGGGATATTTGCCAATAATCGCACCTCTTCCTTTGTTATTAATATAATTTGTAACGTTCGCGTAATGACTGTAAACGGCAATGGAGAAAACACAGACAATCGGGGTCTATTTGATGGTTAAAAAAGGGACGAAGGAGCATCCACTTAATCAATAAAAAATTCGAGAAAATAAATATACGGCCAAGAAAACAAAACTGGACATGAATATTCTAAAATATTTCCACGATTTAACAATGTGAACCAGATGACCAAGATTGGAATGGGATAAACACATTATCCTATAGTCGGTTCAGGATATTGGGATTATCCCTTGGCCAAATATAATATATTTTTCCTCTG